GATAACAAAAAGCTAAATTGTTTTGTGCATTAACATATTCCTTATTAGCTGCTATATTATATAATTCAAAAGCTTTATCTTCATCTTTTTCAATTCCAATTCCTTTTTCATAGCAATATCCAAGCCAAAATTGTGCCACAACAAATTCTTTTTTAGCTGCTATATTATATAATTCAAAAGCTTTAACTTCATCTTTGTCAATTCCAATTCCTTTTTCATAGCAATATCCAAGACAAAATTGTGCCACAACAAATTCTTTTTTAGCTGCTATATTATATAATTCAAAAGCTTTAACTTCATCTTTTTCAATTCCAATTCCATTTTGATAACAAAAAGCTAAATTGTTTTGTGCATTAACATATTCCTTATTAGCTGCTATATTATATAATTCAAAAGCTTTAACTTCATTTTTTTCAATTCCAATTCCTTTTTGATAACAAAAAGCTAAATTGTTTTGTGCTTCAACTAATTCTTTTTTAGCCGCTATATTAAATAATTTAAAGGCTTTTCTTTCATTTTTTTCTATACCATTTCCATTCATAAAACAATTTCCTAAATTAAATTGTGCAATTATATTTCCATTTTCTACTGCTTTGCGAAAATAGCTATAGGCTTTTTTATAATTTTGTTTTGTTCCAATTCCAAAATAATTATTAATTCCAATTTTTCTTAAACTTTCATAATATATTACTTTATAAAGTTTTTCATTTTGTTTTTTTTTAATATTAATTTTTTTATTATAATATTTTTCTAAAGTATAATTTGCAATAATATTTCCATTATGTGCTGCTTTATTATACCAATGAAAGGCTCGAGCTTCATTAATTTTTGTTTCATTCTTACTATAGTAATAATTTCCGAGTTGATATTGTGCATCAGAAATTTCCTTTTTTGCTAAAATATTATAATATTCAAAAGCTTTGTTTTCATCCTTTTTAATTAAATTGCCTAACCTATAACAATCTGCCAAGTATAATCTTGCAATCATATTGCCATTATTAGTTGCTTCTTCATACCAATATATTGATTTTTCTTTATTTTTTTGTATTCCAATACCAAATGTATAGCAATATCCTAGATAATATTGTCCCAAAATACTTCCATTTTCTACTGATTTTTGATAATTTTTAAAAGCTAATTTATAATTTTTTTCAGTTCCATATCCATCATAATAGCATTTAGCAATATAAACTTGCGCAATTGAATAATCACCTTTTGCTGCTTTTAAAAATAATTCAAATGCTTTAAAACTATCATCATCTATATCAATATTGTGATAATAAAGCAATCCAAGAAACCATATATATTTAAGTTTATCTTGATTCTTGATGAGCCAATTTAAAAGGTTATTTATAGTCTGATTGAATTGCAATAATGTCTTCTTAATAATATCTTCAATTTGATCAAAAGTAAAGCCTTTATCATGTTTTTTAATTATGTAATCGATAATATTATTAATTGTATTATTATATAATTCCAATGATTCCAATGAACTTATTGATAAATTTGAAATTTGAAAGTATGGATTATTTTTCGCTTCAATATATATTAGTGAAGATTTTTGTTTTTGCAAATTTGAATTATTTTCAGGTTCAGATTCTATTATGTTTTTAAATTGGTTGAATGTATCTTCTAATATCAAATCGTCATTATCTATAAATATTTCACTTGTTTCATCAGTTTTAAAGCTGGATTCATTATTTATATATAAATTACTTTCTTTATGATGATTATCTATAAATATATCATTTTCAATATCAATTTGTTCAAGAGAGGCTATTTTTTTAAGCGATAAAACTACCTCATTTATATCTGGACGTTTTTCTGGCTCATAATTCCAACATTCTAATTAAATGGATAAAAATAATGAATATCTAGAAAAAAATTATTAAATAATATTAATATTACTTACTTCGATATAAAATACTATATTCAAATGGAGTACCATCAACTATTTTCTCTCTTATTCCACCCACGATGCTTAAGGATAAACTCAAATCATAGTCTATACCATCAAATGGTCGATATCCACTTGAAATTTGCCACATCAAAACTCCAACACTATATACATCAGATTTTTTATTCAATATATAGCTCTTATTTTTATTATCTAAAAATTTTGGATCCATATAAGGTATTACGCCAAATTTATTTGCGTTATATGAAGTTTCGGCGATTTTTCTTGATAAACCAAAGTCTGCTAATTTGATTCTTTTTTGGTGTACAAGTATATTATTTGCATGCTGTGATCATAAAAAATTTTTAAAGCTAAGTTATTAAAATATAAATAATAAATATACATTATATAATAAAACAAAAATTACCAAATCACAATGAATAATTTCACAATCATGAATACATTCTACAGCACTTGCAAGTTGTAATGCTAGCTGATATTTATCATTCCAATCAAGTTTCTCAAAATTTTGATTTAAAAAATTATTTAACGTACTACCATCAGCATATTCTAAAACCAGTAAAAATTGGTTCGTTTGATGAATTACATCTAAACAAAATTTATAAATTAATATACAAGTTAAATTGTAGCATATTATTATTATTTTACTTACCAAATTCTATCTTTGCAATTCCATAAAATCGCAAAATATTTGCATGAAAATCAACTTTTTTTTGTAATTTAATCTATAAAGTATAAATAATTTAATATTTAATTTGAAGTTTGTTAATCTGATATTTAAAACCATTACATATTTCAATACCTCATTGACAATCTCTTTAAGGGTTAATTTATAATTGTCGAACGACTTCAAAGCAAAAATGGAATCAGTATCTTTCCAATTAGCACGAGAAACTTTTCCAAAATTACCACTTCCTATTGGTTCTATATTTTTGAAGTCCGAATATTCATAATAATTGAAATATTCGTCAGAAATTGAATTTTCTATCCAAATAAGGTATTCATCAATTTCATTTGACATTTTTATTTTTTTTAATTTAATTTCAATTTTTTTTTTTTTTTTTTTTTGAAAAAAAAGGCATAACAAAGAATCGTTGATCGGATTTATAGACTAGGAAAAGGCGGAACACAGCACAGATGTAACGAAAGAGTCCAATCAACGTATCGACTTAAATTTTAAATTTGAGCGGGCGGACAACGGATAAATGATCTGTAAAATGCCGATGATCCCGTGACTTTTGAACACTAATTAAACATTCAATTCGTATCGTTTTAGTAATTTAAATATCTCTGGAAAATACTAGCAAAACTTTTATTTTTTTTATTGGTTTGAAATAAATTGTATAACGTCAGGGCCATTTAACATTACATTTTTTATTTAAGAATATGCTGGCAAATAAAAACAAATTTTGATAAAGTTGCGGGGCATGGCCCTAATCACATTTTGGCAAAAGTCAAAACAATTCGAAAATGATTTTGACGGGTTTAGATATTTTGATGTTTTTCGATAGATTCACCGAGTTTGACGATTTTTGATACGATTTCAAGAAATTCTTACGGATTTCCAAAATGAGTTTTATTTTGAAGGGTCTCACTTTAATATCAAAGATTTTGACAACGACAAAACATTTGCAAACATCGAAACTTTTGCCAACTGTCGATACTTTCACGGTTTTCCCTTAAATAAATATTTTGGCAAAAATGTCAAAACTAATTTCAAATTTTTCCACTTGTGGAAACAACCAGGCATCCTTAATATATAATCTTAATGATTATTATTAATATTTATGAAAATTTAACTCATACTTTAAAGAAATTTTATAAAATTTATACCTAGTTTATTCCATAAGTAAGGTCCAGATTTAATTTGCATTAAACTGTATGTCACTATATTATGACGAATACACGTTTTTCTAAATTAAATTATTAAATTTGATAATTAATTAACAAATTTCCATGACACATAATTTTTAGATAAAATTTTGAGCTCCAGATTTTAGATATTGGATATTTCGTTTATAAAACCTTAATTATCGTTTTACCAATGCTAGGATTAATAATCAGCAGAAAATTTCGGAGACGGGTCAAATATGTAAAGTCTTTGCCAAAAAATAACTACAATCAGAGCAATTTTTATGTACTTGGAATGATTTCAACAATTAAAAAACGGTTAATTTATTCCCTCGAACATTAACATATTCTAACTTAAGTCCTATGTGAAATTTACTTCATACATATCTTTTATTAGAATCAATTCTTATAAATAGTATTTTATAAAATTATAACTTTAATATTTCTTTTATTTTTTTTTCCAAATTCTGTGAAATTATTTCAAATAATCGTCTCTTTCTTGTAAGACCTTTCTTTTTTTCCAAAATAAAATTATTTACATTTTAATAAGTATAAAATTTTTTATTTAAGAAAGAAACTTCCGACATTAAATTGTTTCAACTTATATTTTATTATGTTATGTTCTGTTAAGAAGCCTATCATTATGTTATTGATTTCCATTTTTTATGCTCGCGAATATTTTTTCACAAAATAAACATCTATATCTCAGTGCAAAACCTTTCCTAGCTTCAAATAATAATTATAATAATTTTTTGAAATCAATAAATGAATTATTAACAATATTGTTATCGACTGCGCCTAACTTCAGAAATTATTTATTATGACATGAATGGTGATATTTACCCTCCCCTAATACATGAATGTTACCAGACATCATATCAGCCAATATTATTCCCCATCATCTATCAACGGTAGCGACGGCAGAATTCCTCCTTTTCCTGATCCCTTCCCTACTTGAGCATACATTAAAAAAAAAAAAATACTATTACTATACCAGACATTATTGTTTGTTATACGAAATTTAAATTTCTAATTATATTTTCTAAAAAAAGGATCTGATAAACAATTTAACAGTTTCAATGAAGTGGACTAAATGGGAAATTAATCACGTAATAACATTTTCATTATTATTATTATTATTATTATTAATGGGGATGAATTGCCTTCGAAAAGTATAACATAAATATCTATTTTAAACAAGTAGTTATTAAAATAATTTTTTTGATTTCATAACCACATAGTCAACTGCTGTCATCTATTCAATAAGAAGCTCTGCTCTGTGCAGTGTATCCGTAATAAAATAAATCGCATAGATCGATAAAAAAAAATTGAATATTCTTAAAAGAGTAATATGCAGTCGACTAACCAATACACATTTAAAATTGAATTTTAAACCTAATTAATTTCGCTTATAACAAATATTTAAAGATTGCATCAAATTCTTTATCTTTAAGTACAGTATATTAATTAAACTGAAAAAATATACGAAATGATACACGTTAATAAAATTTACAAGATATATTTCTAAATCTAAATGATTGTGAGCAAATTTAGAAATTACGAGTTATAGAAAGTCTAATCGTTTGTATATAATAATAAGTAACTTTTGATAAAATGTTGTTATAATAAATTATATGAATAACTTTTAAAAGAATTTGATTTTAGGATTTAATATACAGGCATATTGATGACATTTCTCATTTCTGGTGACAGACCTAATTTTTTTTTGACTTTGTAGAATGATCGGGGTTCCATTCAAATATTCGTATTTGATTATTTTTCAAAAGTATTGTGATGATATAAATATTTTGTATAAATAGGCTTCGTTTCATTTTAAATAGAGGAGATGATATCTCTTTTCTTAAGGCGCGCCTAGTTTTTTGTCCATTAATTAATAAAAGCTTATTCTTCAATTCCTCAATCTCGTTAAATTCGATTGTTATAACTAAAATTGATCAAACTTGGCCTTCGTTATAAAATAATCTTAATTCGTTAAAGTATAAATTGGGGCAAGTTTTGTTTAATTAAAATCTTTCCAAAAATAAAAAGTAAATTTATCAAGAATAAAAAATGGATTAGGTGTCTGGATAATCTTTTTTGATTTATCAAAAAAAATTTTTTTTTCTATTAAATTTATCTTTGAAAAGGGGTGATGACAGTATGTATTATCTGGACTTGATTCAGTCTCCAAATCTTCATTTGATAACTTTTGCAATAGAATTTGATTTAAATCTAGCCCTAAAGAAAGAAATTGGTCTATAGCCGTTTCGAATTCTCAAGTTTTAAGCAATAAAGTCAATCGTAATTCGTAATTGAATTATTTTTATACTTGGTGCCAAGTAGTATAAATAATTAAAGTGTATTTTGGTCAATATCATGATGTCTAAACACACTCGAAATGTTAAGCGTTTAAAAAAAAGTGAACCCATTTATTTAATTCATTAATTTATTTAATTTATCATATGGTTTGAAATAATTTGGAGATAGTTTCGTCAATTTTTCTTGCAGAATGAATTATGGAAAAATGCTTACAAATATTTTTTTTTCGTCTTTAGTACTGTACCATTATATTTATGAATACATGTTATTTCTTTAACCGAGAAAAAAATAATGATTAGTGGAATTGAGATCTTTAAATTTCTTTTTCTTTGCTAAATTTGTGGAAGAATAATAAATAGTTTATTTCTACATTGACAAAATATATCAAAGCTTTTGAAATAATTTATTTAAAACAAATGGATTGATAGGAGAAGTTGAAAATATTACAAAAATAATCTAACGTAATTATTTGAATTTTCAAAATATTAAAATTTTTTTTTTTAAAAATTATCATAAACCATTCCATTAAAATGTCAATCTTCTATTTCGTTTGCTTCGCTACATTGCGTCAAATTTAAAACACACATAGAACAAGTGATGAAGGAAGTCTATTAGAAAAAAATTTGATTGGTCATCAAACGATAGTTGTTTTGTGACCGTCATAACTTTGGTGACAAACCGATTTGAGCTGATCTGCTAAAATCGACTCATTTTGAGCCGATACATATCTATTATCACGCGATCGCGAAAATTTTGTCGGTAAATTGCACAAACAATTATTTGTAGAACCCAAAAATTTAAATTATTAAACAACTTTTTTTTAATTTTCACCGTTTAATTAAATGAAACTACAAAATTGTATTGTGTCTCAGTAAAGTTCTTCAGCAGATATTTAAATATTGAGCATGAATTGTTCTTCAATATTGGTTTAGAATATATAGATTCTCCAAATTATTTCTTCATTTGATTTCATTGATATTTTAGGAGTTTTGCATTTGGTTTAGTTTTTAATCAAGTTTTTTTTGTATTTCTTTTGTTTTTTTTTGAAAGTAATTAATACTTATCGGGTTAAAACGGAAATTCCGCTTGAAAATTAGATATTCAAATGAAATTAATTTTTATATTATTGTTTTAATTAAAAATAACATTTATCAAAAAAAAAAAAAAAGCCTTTTTTTTCATATACTAAATGAGTTATTTTCTTGCGAAAGATTCTTGTTCGAATTGTTAGGGAATGAAGAATTGTTTTTTTCCTCGTCTCGTGAAAAAAAAAAAAAAAAATACCTTTTCACATTGAGCAAATAATAAAAAACTAATTGTATTTAGTTTTATGTTCTTATGATACATTGTTAATCATATGTACTAATTCGATTCACCTAGATATATTCAAGCAAACAATTGCTATACATCATTTACACATGATATTAAGGACAAAACGGAAATATGATGTTTGTTCCTATTAAACAATGAATGAAAATTTCTAAAATTTCTGAAAGTCATTTAACCAAAACGACACAATAAATCAAACATTCTTGTATATCATTAAATCAATATCTCAATACTAGTATATTTTTTTAGTTCTTTCAAAGGATGTTTCATATAAATAACCAATTTTTACAACTAAAAAAAAAATTTTCACTTCATACTTACCTGACATTGAAATCGTTCTTTAAAAAAAAAAAGCCATAATCACTTTTGTCTAAAACACCACTTCGCTTGACAACGAAGTGAGTTATCTAAACCTTCTTCTCATTGTATCGTATAGGCTTTCCAAAGAAGTATGCGAAAAAGACCACTCACAAGACTTACACAACTTCAGCCGATTGGATTAATTTCTTGCTAACTGTATTGCCAATAAACTTCCACGGCCTTTAATATCCCTCCTAATAATTTATTGAAGCTGGTAGAAATATTGCCAATTTCGTTCTTCCGTAAGAAATGAACCTTGGTTAAATGGTATCACGCCTGTTAATGCTATCGATTTCTTTTTGTATCTTTTGATCAATTGTCTGGTTGGTCAACGGAGAATGCTTTTGGAACAAATTTGTTCTAGAATGCCTAATTGACAATATTATCAACGAATTTCCAAATTCATTTTGCTATAAAAATTAATAATAATCATAATATAGCCTCGTTTAAATTGCAAAAGGATGAAACTGTCTGAACCTTGGAACTCTCCAACGGTGAAAACAATAGCACTCTAAAATCAGAACAACTTCTTTAATTTGTTCCTCATCCAGGTAATTTATATAGTATTTCTTCTTAAATATTTTTTTTTTTATGGACAAAATTTAATTTTTGATTTTGATTAAAAATAATTAGATTTCTCAAATAAAGCAATTTGTGATTGACACAATGGATAATTACTTGAATTTGATTCAAGGACTTCAAATAAGTCATCTTGTAATTTCAACTTTAAACTCTGGTAAGATTACATTATATTGATTATAGACAAAATATTAAGAATACATTATTTGTTTAAATAACAAATTTCACATCAACACAAAATGACCACATCTATAGACATTCGAAGCTACTTAAGATTGAATTGATCTTAGATATAACTATAGGTTGAGCTTT